TTATAAATAACTTACTGTATGTTTTGTCAAGAATAGTTTTCTGACAGGTTTGTGAAACAAAWACAATGAGTCAGAGAGGAAGCTGGAGAATTACCATTGCAAGATGCTGGATAAAATTTTATTATATACAACCCCAATACTGAGCTTTCATGTGCTAGCATGCCATATAATCTGTGGATCCCATCTTTGCTGTTGCCATATTACTCAAACATTACTTTAATATGATATTGAAGTAATGTTTGAGTAACCAACTTATTCAAAGGCAAATGATGATGAGATATTGCCCAAAGCCTTGATTTAACAGTGTGAATCATTGATAGAAATGATTCTGAGAATTTGTCGGTACATGTGAAAAATGAAAGCAAAATAATCAGTTTCAAAGATAAACATGACATTTTAAAAAGAACTGCTCTTTCAAGCATTTGTTGGTATATTGCCTGCAATGATTTCTTGTAGAGAAATAATAATCATTATTCATACGGTGGGCCACATGATTCTATRGTTTGCAGCACATGGATGACTTCCCAATAGTGATAATAAAATGAACAAAAAATCTACCCAACATGCACACACAAAGCAAACCTTGACTGGAGGTGTTTGTTATTGATGAAAATCCCAGTTACAACTGACTTGTGAATCAGGTAAAGTTTAATTTGCAACATCTATAAATGCATTATTTTAGGGAGAGAGTTTGCAGTAACATTGCAAGGCAACATCCCTTTATTAAGAACTGTTATTGGTTGAAATGATTCAGACGAAGTCACTGCCAATAGCATGACATTTAATGCAATTTGTTGCTAACCATGAATTGAAAGGAAATGTTATAAAGACTTTCTTGAGGATCCTGAAGATGTGCAAGTCAGTTGTAACTGGGTTTATTGTTGTGAACTGTTGGGGTTGGGTTTGGGGGTCATTATACACCATACTGAGAGAGATGAAAACCTGCACAGTTAACCTCTGCTTTATCAACACCACCTTCATRCTCATGTGCTCCTGGTAAGACTGACACATGCCATTCAAAGCTGTTAAAAAGGGCTTGACTGCTTGTGATGAATACACTGTTAGACGATGACCATTGCTGTACTTATTGCTGTACTCTTATGTAGAAGAAATGATATTAAAAACATGATGTACCAGTACCTGGAAATGGTATAAAACTTGCTTTTCAATGTGAATATAAGAAAATCTACAATGGAAAGTGTTAAAAAGCAGAGTTTGATTGTGCAGGAATCAATGGAAGGCATACCTTATCCGGGTGGCTCCTGCAATTATTTGTTTTACGGAGTGGAAACATTTAACGATTGGTTAAGAGAGTTGTTTTTGTGAACCTGTGAAATGCACTTTGGCATATATTCTACACCTTGCTCCTTAAGGCTGATTTACACGGCACGATTGTCTCGTGCGACTTGTAGTATACGACTTGAATCGCGTAGTGTAAATGCCCCTACGACTTGTCTACAACAGTCGTATGCAACCTACGACTTGTAGTAGGGTTTTGAACCACTGCTTAAAATCCTACGACTTGTAGTAGGAAAATCGTATACTACAAGTCGCGCGCGACAGATCGTACCGTGCAAATCAGCCTTTATTGTGTACATTTTACTTTGTGGATTCAGTGTGTTACACCCTATTACACATTAGTTATTACATTTTGGTGCACAGGCTTTTGAGAATCACTCTTGGGTAATCCTTTTTGCAATCAAAATTTTTCAAGGGTCTTTGCAATCACATCTCTCTCAGTATGGTGCCTTTGGGTTGGGGTGGGGTAGTCGCACTGGGTTGGGGAGGGACTTGCATTTTGGGTTTGGGGAGGGACTTGCATTTTGGGTTGGGGAGGGACTTGTAATTTGGGTTGGGGGGACTTGCACTTTGATATGGGGGTGACATAAACTTGTGTGGGAAGGACTTTGTGGTTGGGCTTTAAATTGTAACATTTTGGACTTTAACTTGTTTTGACTTGTATTTTGTCTTTGTTATTTATATTTAGAAATAAAGTTTGACTTAGAAAATTTTTTTCTGTGTCTTTAATGTATTCCATCTCTATAGGGTACACGCCCATTTGACTTTAAAAAAAATATGCCTCCCCGAGGCCCCACCAGCACCAAGTCTCTTGCCACCCCTGCAGGCCAAATCTTTTTGGTAGTCTCGCTGCCCTGACTAGAGCCAAGTTATTAGGCCAAGACCAGCAAAATTTAGACTGCCCTGATGCTGGAGACTGACTGTATGGATGTCAGACCTCCACTCACTGCAGACTCCAGGGGGGAACTCTGTTGTCACCCAAGCCAGCATATAAAGTGAGGGTGAGTGCAAATGTGAGTCTCGGGTGACCCCACCCCACCACCCACTGAATATGCATGACAGTGATGCACTGTGTGATCAATAGGCTCATCACTTAGCAACATTCAGACAACTCCGCAATAAGTTATGATTATCAAATCTGACTGGAAGACAAAAAGTATATTTCTGGGATAATAAAGTGGGTTAAATGTGAAGGTCAAATCCGATAAGGCCAACCACCACCATGCAATTTAATTGGAAAAAACTGTTTTAATTAACTTTGCCACCATTTTGAATTAATTAGGCTGGAAGCCATTTTTAATTTATAAGTTAAACAGCCATTTTGAATTGATTAGCCTAGAAGCCATTTTGAATTGATTAACTGGAAGCCATTTTGAATTGATTAGCTGGAAGACATTTTGAATTGATTACTCTGGAAGCCATTTTGAATTGATTAACCTAGAAGCCATTTTGAATTGATTAACCTAGAAGCCATTTTGAATTGATTACCCTGGAAGCCATTTTGAATTGATTACCCTAGAAGCCATTTTGAATTGATTAATTCAGAAGCCATTTTGAATTGATGAATGGAGAAGCCATTTTGAATTGATTAATGGAGAAGACATTTTGAATTGATCATCCTAGAAGCCATTTTGAATTGATTAATGCAGAAGCCATTCTTAATCAATTGACCTTAACCTCTTATACTAAATAAGTTTAAAGTTTATGTCAATGTGAAAATGGTGGCAAATGTAGAAAAAAATGTTTATAAATTAAATATAATATTTAACCTAAGATAGTTTTTTCACCAGCAAAGAAACTTTCGACAAGTAAAAGGTCCGTTGTACTCAAGAGAAGCATTGCATATTTGGTAGTGAATTTTTCTTTTCAATTCCCAAATATAGCAGCATTATTGACAAAATTGTGTATAAAATTATAATATAATGTT